CGCCGATTAGTGCGGCAAGTCGCCGCAAATAAGACGCGCGGCAAGTTGGCTGTGAAATTCGTTGCAAACGATATTCGTCCATGAGGAAGAATGTAAAAAAGAAAAAAAAGAAAAGTAGAGTCTCGCCCGAACAAATCAGATCGAAGAAGCGACCAGTCTGAAGAAAACCGAACAATAGGCAAAAGCCATTGAGCCGCTCGGTTGAATAGATACACACACACGTACACACGCCTACGAAATAGATCAATAAACCACTCGATATCTTCCAATGGCTCTATGGAGACGCGAGATCGACCGGAGGAGGAGAAAAAAATTAGGCAGAAATGACCGGATGTGGATAATCCTCGTCGTATATCTGCAAAGACCCGGAGAAAAAGAAGCCCTACCGGGAACGTCATCGAAAAAAAAAAAATAGAAAAAAAGAAAGAAAAAATGAACGATGCACGTTTCGCAGGATCACGACGCAGCAAGAGAGGTGGGAGCGATATACGCGCGATCCTGAGATCCGGCGGACGCCTAATCCTGTTTTGAAACCTCGGTCTCGCATGACCGTGACAAACTCGACACCTTAAGATAGTTTATGACGATCCCTCGATCTCCTCAGGTTCGCTCGCCACTATGTATTATCTTACAGCCTGTCCGGGGGCCTCGCGACCGTCGAAGGAAAGGGGAACGACGTGGTGCCCCTCTATCAATATTGATCTCCCCTTTCTTTTTCGACCATTAATTGGGTCGCTATCTGCGAACGGTAATCGAACTCTCGTCGAGCTGAGCGAATGTGTTAGATCGCTTTTTTTTTTTGCTAAGCGACGCGCTAAAAAATCGCGCGAGGTTTAAGAATATTATTTATCGTGTCCTGATTTACATATCTGAGAATATCCAAAAGTTGTTTTACTGAATTGTCTGTACTGTTGAATTTATATAGATATCTCATCGGTCTCTAAATGAATAAAAAGTGACTCTTTTGTTGAATTTTTGTTCTCTTGAGGGGAGAAAAAATTCAACAAAAAATGCAGTTAACTTAACACAAATATTTGATGCACACTGTTTGCCGAGTAATATGAAACAATGAATGGCAACCACTGGGGCCGCGCATCCTCTCGGTAAAGACGGGCATATTGCGCATCAGGCGCCGTATTTGTAAATTTCGGCCACACCGCTACATCCCTCGATTTGCGAGACGTCTCGGAGAAAATTGAATCCGGCTTGAAAGGAGAAACAAACGGCTGGGAGAGCCGGTTGATTTAATATGGCCGTCCGTCAAGGCGCGTACGCGTCACGCTCGGTTCACGTAAGACGGACGTCTGCTTTCTTCCCACCCCGAAATCCTGTCTAGTCGCGTGGCACGACGCGGGCGTTACCCGTCCGTGCCTTTCAAAGATCCTATCGCTGACGTTCCCTCGCTCGGTTTGCTAAGCTGAACTAACCACCACGACGGAGAAGGAATTTCGCGAGATCCGACTTCGTCGGTTGAATGAGAATTGAATTAATTATATAGCGTGAGAGAAAGAGAGAGAGAGAGAGAGAGAAAGGCCCTGAGATGTGTAACTTACACAGAAGCAGTCTTTTTTAAATTGTTTCGAGACGCGTATTAACTCCCTCAGATGAATATACGAAAAACAGAGTAAGGGGATATACTTTTCGGAATAATATATTGCATAAATATTTGTTCTTTTTTGTTTTGTGCACAAGCGCTTCTGTCCGTGCCGCACATGTGTGTGCTCGGACAAACAAATAAATCACCGGATTCGTTAGTCGGAATTCGAATCCGCTCGTCCGAGCATCGTGTCAGAGCAGATCCCGCTGCTTCGACGAGACGCGCGGTATCGTGTTCCCTCGAAATGACCTCATGGCGCGGTTTCTCGTCTCTCGTAAGCGAACGACACGTGGTGCGCCCGTGCCTCAACCGCATCTGCACACACGCTTCATTGAAAATTCCGCGCGCGAAACATTGTTCAAGCGACCCGGAGTCGCGTATAACGTCGACGCGGTCAATATTTATGGATGCAATTCGGAAAGCGAACTGCACAATCGGATTGCATTGCGCGCGCGTTCTCTCTCTCTTTCTCTCTCTCTCTCTCTCTCTCTCTCTGCACCGTCAATTCCTTACGTTCCTCGATATCTAACACGCGCGCGTTATCCTTCGAGTTATCGACACGTGCTTTAATTAAATTTATCGGTTCCGCGAAATCGGGCGCGCGCTTGTACGGGCGTGGGATACGATTTGCTGTAAATCTCGACGCTCGTGGTCATTGTGTCTCACCAATATATGGCGTTACTTGGGACCTTATAGCGCATTGTTTGCAAATAAAACTCGAATGGGAATTAAACTCGTCGACAGGTCTGTGTCAGGTTGCATCTGCGCGTATAAAGTCGAACAAACCGCCTCTCTTTAAAATCCCACACAATCGGGAACGCGCATGGAGAATCGAGTAGAAAAATTTCAAGTTAATGTAAAACTTGTCGGTGGATTTTTAAAATATATATACACACATGGGTGTGTGTAAAAGAATGAAAAGTGAGAGAAACTTTTGTGAGGGCTTAGGAAAGTAAATTTAGTGCAGCCGCGCGCACGTTTCTTCTCGGGACTTTCTTCTGGAGCTTATATGAATATTCAGCCACGAAAGACCCAGGCGTGGCTCTGGCGCGGATCTCGTTCGGACCACGCGAGTGGTATTTCTTCATGGATTTATATCGTCGGAAAGAGACTTACGCGGCATTTTTTACGTGATCCCGTCGGCACCTTTGATGCATAGGCGTGGGTCGCGCAAATCGAATCGCTCGGGGTCTCATCACGTTCCCGTTGTAATCACGGAATATATTCCGCATCTGATCCCGATCCGAGAGAGAGGCTGATTATAATTTATGTATCGTATTCACGCGCGTGCGCGGTATGCATGCACGTCGCTTCCGCTCGTCGTCGGATACGAGCTTCTGCATCTTCCAGCGTTATCGGTGGCTTTTAGATTATCGCGCGGTGAACATATTGTCGGCGCAATTTCTTCACCGCCGTCAAATAACACGCGGTGGACAAAACGTGGCGGCCTCGCATCGTCATACACAAGAGAGGAACGATGAATCCGCGAAACGCGTTCGCGAGAAAAAGGAAAAGACCGGTCTGAATTGCAATTGCCAACCGCGTCTTCTCTCTACGCCGTCTCATCGTTTTTAATATGCGACCGCGCGTTGTTGTTGCATCCAATTGAAGCTGAGCGCGCGATATATTTCTCTCTCTCTCTCTCTCTCTCGCTAACGAATAATATTTTATCTCTAATAAAATCTGTCGCGCTGCGCCGACTGCAGTGCGGCGGCGCCGCGTCTTAGCGTCGCGCGGAAGCCAAACGAACTTTATTTCCTGGTTTGCAATCACCGAGACGCCGCGGCCTCTTTATGTTTGAAGAATCTCTGATTATAATTTATTTGTATATCCTACTCCCGACTTGATGTGCTCATCATAGCGATAAACATAGTTTTTTGTCTCCCGGAACGTACACCAGATTATATTTCAATATATTGTCGATCTTAATTTCTCTTCCTGTGAGACCGCGCTCGATAACGTTTCGCGACATCAATATACGTCGCGATATTGCCTCAGTCCTGTCACAAACATGAAATAAGCTCCACTCTATTCCATTCTGCATTCCTTTTAAAGGAACTTAAGGGACGATCGTCTCCCTCTTCTCGAAAATCAGATCAAATCGGTGCGCCAGCCCGCCCCTTTTCGTCGACGTGCGCGCACACGCGCGCGCGCTTACGTACGTGAATATTTCGTCGACACGCCGCGGGCATGTTTTCTCAGCTGTTGCCCCTAACCCTCCTTCCTCACCTCCCCCCGACTATTCTCCCTCCACCCTCGCGCGAGCAGATCCTTGGAAGATCCTTTCAGGACACGGTCGGCTACCCACAAAGAACCCCGGCCTTTCATACGCACGTTATTATACTCTTTACACAATATCGTTCCAAGCTCGCCCTCTCCCTCCCCCTTGCCGGGGAAGAAATACGCGTTGCCATACGCCTCGGTACTGTATAACCTACGCCCACGTATTGTAGCCAAGGACCATAGGCAACGAGAGACGTCGACCGAGCCGACGAAAGCCTCGAGACTTTCTCGTTTAATTTGTTGTTATAGCTGCTTGAGATGCGGATCGAGCCATTCGTCCGTCCGCGGGATCCCTCAAACATTCATTATATTTTTTTTCTTTCGTAATGCGTATATATACCGACCGCGTTTTTTTTTCTCTCTCTCTCTCTCTCTCTCTTTCTCCATATATCGCCCGCGTTTCGCGGCGCGATGGGATTGCGGTTCCGTCTCTCTCACGTAAGAAAGGTCTATATTTGTTCCGTATCCCACGTAAGAGAGCGGGTCCCTGTTAATCGAGAGATCTCTCTCGCGAAGCAGGTGGACCCCGGTGCGATTCGCCCGATAGAAGAAGAACAACAACAGTACGAACGCGTTTCTCGGTAACCTTCGGGTTTGCTTTTCCTCTCTCGCAGATCGTATCGTCTTTCCTTATCCCGGCGATGTTTCATGACGTATGGGTAATAACAGATGCGCAGTCGCGAAACGTTGATCGATACATCAACGATAAATAGCACGCGGATATTCGGAGCGATTATCCATTCACGTTGATCATAGTAATAAGATTTACGACGAGATCGCGCTTTCGTCGGGAGTGATCGATTCAATTCGCCCGCAGACGATCGTATCGCGGATATACGCGGCTTGATGCGATTAGGATGCGGTATTATCGCGGTCCATTAGCGATTGTTTGCGAAGAAAACGGACGAGTCAATTGCCATCGTTCGGTGAACCGTGAGCGCGTTGCGTCTCGACGGTCTCGAGAACTTACTGGAGCGTTGCTCGTTCACGAGGATCCTTTCTGTCTGATTTGGCGCGTTTGCCTGTCTAGCGCACCGGGATGCACTTTTAGGGTTCCAGCTTGAATAGTCCTCGACAATGTAGTTCTCAAACAATTTTCACGTGTATATTTATTATTTGTTTGGCAAAAGAGAAACGAAGAGGATTACAGTGTTGATGTGAATACACAATGGTTATACGAGAATGAATTATTTATTTCGTTAAAAAAAAAAAAGAAAAACGCACGAAGTCGTCAAAATCGTCCGAGCCGATCTGTAAACGTGTTAAGAAATGCCCATCGCGCCACTCGAGACGGGAACACCGGTCCCATACATTCCAGCAGCAGTAAATTTCTTTCTTTTACGGCTCTGTGAAATTCTTCCTCGGATATCACACCGTCGCGATCGATGTCGAGTTTTTTCATCAGTGAATCAATCAAATCCTACGGCACATCATCGGGATTTAATAATAAAACGGATATTAGTTGACACCGAGATGCGATTAATCACCTTTACACCTTCGTCGGGATCTTCGTCTGTTGGCAGTTTAATCAAACAACCTCGCATTGAAGGGAATATTTGCTCCTTCTTCAATTTGTTCGTGTGCATAAAATCGTATATCTGCGTATAATATAATTTTATACATATACAAACAATTAAATGCACAGATGGAAGGTGTTAAAAATTTTACTCGATTTAACAAAATAATTGTAAAAGCATAAAAGTTACTTTAAAAGCAAAATGTATTTTCTCATTTAAATCGCCACGAAGAATTACGGACAGTCCTTCAATCCAGTCCTCTAAGTGAATCTAAACAAATTAATAATTAAAATATAATCATAATTAATTAACTTAAAACTACTAAAATGTAAAGATTTCTGTACATAGTTTTACTTGTAGAACATTGTTTTTGTCAAAAGCGCCGAAGATTCTGTCAATGTACAAATGTCGAATATTTTCAGTAAAATCCAAAGCAGAATGCATCACATCTCTGAACACTGATCTCGTTATGGGACCCAAAGTTTGTGTTATTTTTCTATGTATGACGGCTAACGCTACGATAAAGTTAATAACAAAGCGATGAAAGTTGAACAAATAAAGAAAATATAAAAAGACTAATACAAAAAGTATGTAATTTTTGGTTATACAACCTTCGACTTCTCTCAAGTTAAAATGAGTTGTTTTTGCTAATTTCTTAAATAAAGCGATGTTCTTTCTTCTGAAAACAACCTCCGGCAAACTATCGCTTAATGAATCAATAGCCATTTCGGCGGGCATTTTGCTCTTGTAAATTTAATCTGCACTTGTAAATTTATTGTTTTCTAAATTGTGATAACCAAAGATGTCGATAAAAAATAAGTCAAAATATATACTAAAATAAAATAAAAAACTATCATTGTATTTCTTCAATTATCGTGAAATGTATTGTGTGTGAATATATTTATATATTTATACAATCTAATATTAATTATTTATATACTTATTAATTATTTAAGTATTATTTAGATACTTATTCTATTAATTATTTATATACTTATTAATTATTTAAGTATTATTTAGATACTTATTCTATTAATTATTTATATACTTGTATCTAATATTTTTTATTTAAATTATATTTATTTTTATCTTTATTATTATCTTGTAATTTACTAAAATTTAAAATGATTTAATAATACAATTTAAATGACGACTGTATCACGTTTTCTGGTGAACTGTGTTTGACAGAAAACGAGCCAAGTTTGTGCGATAGTCAAGGCACGGCCCATTAGCTCAGTTGGTTAGAGCGTCGTGCTAATAACGCGAAGGTCGTGGGTTCGATCCCCCCATGGGCCAAGTCATATTTTTTTTATTTTATTTTTATATTTTTGTAATATTCATATTTTTAAGCTACATTTTTTTAATCAGATATATTTTTAAAATATTAATCTGTTAATAAAAACCTTTTAAAATATTTTGCAAATCTTAACTCTCTTAAATCTCAACTCTGTCATATAAAATCAAACTTCTGAAACTATTTTAATCACTAAAAAAACATTCTCGATGGAAATGTTTAGGTTTTTCACTTTTCAAAAAAAAAATAAAATAAAATAAAATAAAATTTATATAGTTTATTTTTCATATAGTTTGTTATAGTTTACCGTAGACTACATCTAGGTCGACTTTAGCCACGTTTGAAGTGAAAAATGGTTTATCGTAAAAGTTACGCGCGCGTGATCTTTCACATAAAAAGTTATCCACAAAATGTCCGACAATATAAGGGCAATAAACAGTACAGCTCACGGTTCTCACGTGGCCGTGAGAAAAAGAAATACGAGACTGTCCATCGAAGAAGCGCGAGCGAGACGGCGAACAAATTTCAGCGTGATAACCGATGAGTCGTGAACGCACGGCCACGAATTCGTTTCACGGAAGCCGTTGGACCGGCATAAAAGGTGACAATAAAGCCCCGCCTAAGTATATCTAATGACATCATTTGGTTGGCAAACGTAATAAACTGGCACAAAGCCGCCGGGGATTTCGTTGGGAATCTAGAAACACGGGAACGGCTTATAAGGCGACCGACGATCGAGAAGTAAATCCCGTATGTGGGAAGGGAAAGGTGGGCGAAAAGAAGGAGGGCGGAAGATGTCTGGAATTTCGTGCGAGACCAGAGCGTTCCCTCGCGGAACAAAAAGGAAAGGGAATACCCACCTCCAATCCTTTCTGCTGCCACACATGAACGCTCGCGTCGTTTTAAGAAAAATACGAGAGAGAAAGAGAAAGGGAGATAGATAGAGATAGAGAGAGATAGAGAGAGAGAGAGTCTCGGGAGCCGTGCGCGATGGCGTGCTTCAGGGCACATTGTTTGACCGGCCGGGAGAGCAAATCCCGTCGGCAAACGGAACGCGGCTGATCCTCTCTCGAGATCATCATCATCGAGAGCCTTAGTTCGTAAATAATGGCCGGAGTACTTTACACGCGCGGGATCGCGCGCGTAATACCGGTGAATTTTTTTAATCTCACCGAGAGTGGGAGACGTAAAAACGGAGAATAACTGCGGGAAGAGAGAGAGAGAGTGCGCCGCCGTTTGCGTGGGACTTTTCTTTTGCGAATAAAGAAGAGAAAGTAGATGATACTTTACACCCGGCGGTATTAAAGAGGTAACCGGACGACGATGGTAAGTGATACAGCTCTTTGTTTTGGATAATAAACATTTATGTTTTATTGTAATCACAATTTCGAGATAATTCTCTGTGTGTGAAGAAAATTCACAGACGCCCGTCCCGTGTGTTAAATATCTAATGGAGCTCGACGCGTGCTCCATTTCGGAACGACGAATCCCCCCGCGTTTTCGGTCGGAATCTCTTCCGTCCTCGGTCGTCCGAGGAATCAGCCCGACTTTCACATATTCGGACAGCAACGAACCCGAGATATATCACCAGCGCGAACGTCGCGCATCCGCAAGAACGCCCCTTTTTTACCCCCGATCCCTATAATCACGAGCTCATTAGTCCCCGCCGGCGGATAATTTACGAGCTGCGTATACGTTGCTTCGCGCGTATCCGATCGCCGAGGGACCGCATTGTTTCGCTTTAAGTAGGCAACGAGCTCGCGAGTACGTGGCGAGGGTATCGCCATCGCTTTCACGAAAGGTGCGTGCTGCAATATGCACCCGGCTGAGAAAAAGAGAACGGAGATACAGAAGGGATGAAGAAACTAAGAAAGAGGAACCTAGCCGTTTCCGCGGCGAGCCGAGAACAACTGTAATCTCGATCTATCTAACGTTGTAAATGTAGCGAGGTGATGATTTGCGACCTCCCTGCAGCTTCGTGGGGAGGGATTGGCGTGTGTGTGTGAGGGTACACATTCGGACCTTTAGATTCAATTTCGTGGGGCGTCAGCCGCTGACGCGACGTCCGCCCACCTTCCGCGAGACGTTGATATACGACACGGTAGACCGCACTAGACTCGGGGAGGCCCCTCCGGAAATTTTCAGACGTCGAATTAACGACGGTGTAAAATAGCAAAACGCAAGAGAAAAGGTTTCAGAGAAAGAGGGAGAGAGAGAGAGAGAGAGAGAGTCTCGAGTTTGAGAAAAGTTTTATAACTTTTGCACATATAATGTTTTTGCATCGATTAATGTATCCGTCGATCCCAAAATAAAAACCGATACGATAAAACCGTGAGAATCTAACCGCGGCAACGTAATCCATTCCGTGCACACCGGTGTGCATCTTTCTCTTCGTTGAGAGGCATTGATGCGTGCGATGCGGACGCGTCGATTTCGCGCGATATGCCAGGAACGCGATATAGAAGATGCAACGATCCCTTCGCGGATCATTGAGACGAGATCGAGAAAGAGGCTACTCGAGCTGGCTGCGCGAGTGTTACGCAAGCGTCGGACGCGGCAAGTGGCGTGTCTATCACTCGACGCGCGATACACATGTACGAACACTCGGGGCTCAGCGCGCGCTAATATACACATACACGTGGAACACGATATTAAAGTTGTCTCTCAATCGAAGATTGAGAGATGCGTGACTCAATCTGTCAGAGATATTTCTTCGCAATTGTGAACTTAAAATATGTTCAACGTAATGCACTTAATGGAAATCGAATTCGGATGTTTAAATTAATTCAGTTTTTTATACCTTTAAAATACAATAAAGTGTCTGTATATAATATTCGATACTGCGAATTGATCGGTTTTTTTTTTTTTTTTTTTTTTTTTTTTAATCGAATAAAGAGCAAGACCGACTTTTCACGTGGCCAATCGTCGAACGCGCCCAAGTAATCTCGAGCGCGCTCGACTTTCGTGCTCGAGCGGCCAATATTCATAGCTCGGCGCGAACGAGCTCTCTCCTCCGCGTCATTTACAAGCGGCAAGTGGTCCATCATAAATTTAGCGCGTTATCGCCGGCTGCGATCGTATTTATCTAACAAATAATTATTCCTGATTATCTCGCGGGTGATGCATGCCTCGGCAAACAGAGATCAAAGATACGGCGCCCGACACATCCCGTGGGCCTTTGTTTAACGCTTAACCAGCCGAAAGATACCACGGTTAACAATTTCGTTTTATTTACGATGTAGAGTGGCGGTGGTGATGGTGGTGGAGATGGTTCGAAGCTTAGTTCGGGACGAGCGTGGGTGCGAAGGTTTTGAGCGCCTATTACCATGGTTGCCCTTGGGGGGTAGCCTATCCCCAATGTCTGCTGCAATCAAATTTTAGAGTTATTGCCACGTGACTCCACGTGGGCCAGTTCGGAGAGCAGTGTGGAGAGAAGGTTGCTTTGGAAATCGACGCGTCACACACGAAACGGTCTTAAGTTAATTTTCGACGACGGCACGCGTGTCGGCCAGAATTCAATTAAAATTTTAAAACGTGTGTGTAAAAAAAATCGGCAAACTATACATATACTAACTATATATATGTATAAATTCTCTTAGTTTCTGTTAATATTAATTAAAATACAAAATACAAACTTACTTTCTTCGGTTAATTAAATAAGTTTCTTTTATACATGATTCAATGTGATTTAAACGTTTATCTATTAAGCGCTAATACAACCGTCTGCGCGACCGAAGAACAGAATCTTATAATCCCGAGCGGACTACCGAGTTGTGTGAAAATGACGAGCGGACTGTCCGCGCTAACGATCGAGCGCGGTCTTCGAGGGGGAAAACATATGGTTTACTCGACAGCGCGAGGGTTTGCAACGTCTCACGGAATCGTTATGTAACAACATCGAAGTGAGTTGTACGACAAATGTCGAAGGTATAGGCTCGAACTAAGTGAACCGTGAATCGACGGGATCAAACGGGCAGAGCGAACACCGGGCGGGGGGGAGAGGATTTCTTCTTTTCTGTGCTGTGTATTTCGCCATTGTCGGTGGGACACCTTGGACGTCATGCCGCGGCTTTGTGCGACTGCACAAGACTCACGAGCAGCGATAGATCCAACGCTTTTCGGAAAATTGAATACGTGGGTGGCGGAGTCACTCCCCGAAATCCCAATCAACAGGCCGGATCCCAAGGAGACGTGACCGCTCAGATCCTCGTAAGATGATGATTAAGCAAGAAACGTGTTTGTATTTCACATGTCGCTAAATATATATATTTGCGTGTCTCGATGCGTTTAAATAAAAAAAAAAAAAAAATAGACATAATGCAATATCGCAGGCGCAAAGTAAGTTCTAATTATACGTAGAGACTAGTAGTGAGAATTTTGAAGCGATATTTTGAGAAACGAATTTCAGTTTCCCCTCCGAATATATTTTCGGAATAAAAATAAACACAAACTCTCTATCTGCTTGGCCGGGACGTGGAAATAAATAACGAACGATTTCCGGTTTACA